GTATGTATGGATCACTTGGGTTGTTACCAACATCTGGTGAAAATTTCATGTCATTAGCACCTCTAGTAATATATTTACTGAGAAAAATGGTGACGTATTGAATACTTATTTTACCCGCTGTTATTATGCACGGCTACAAGAAGTATTTTATAATTCGTCATCACCGCATCAGTCAGTGTTTTCTGTCTAAATCTGCTGTTGGACTTGAGGTAAACCTGGTGAACACACCTGTGGCGTTTACACCTGACCTTCCCACAGACGGCGCAGCTGTGGCCCAGAGGAAACAGCTCGGGTTCTTTCCGCTGTTGGACATAAAAACAACCATCAGCTGATCCTTCAGGTGGAACCTAACCGGACCTGGTCTGTACTGGACTGGATCCCAGCACTGATCTTACCTTGTTTCTCGGCTTCACGGTGAAGAAGACGTTGGGCAGCAGAGAGTCAGGTCTCAGGGAGCAGTAGAACGTGACGACACCGGCCAGGAGAGACCAGAACATCATCAGGATGTGGATGTAGCTGCACACAGGTGAGACAGGTGAGCATCACTGAACAGGTGTAGAACTTTAAACAGGTGGATCGAGGTGATGCTAAAACCTCAAACCCTCAGGTGTCTACTCTTCATCATCAGACCCCCTCATCCTCTTCATCACTCACCTGTTGAGCAGCAGGGTCAGCGTCATCAGGCCCAGCAGGAGGCAGCTGAACACCGGGTACTGTCGGCCGGTTTCCCGCAGGAGCTCCATCTTCATCCGGCGCCTCAGGCCCTCCACACAGGTGAGAACCGCCTCCATACCTGTCGGCTGAGGTTCGGAACACCTGAGGACGCGGTTCTGACGGGCAGGTAAATGGGTCTTTCCGGCCCAGAAGCCGTCAGCGGCTCGACTGACACCGAACAAGTTTCAGCAAAACCCGGTAAAATCCCGCTTCATGTCTGAAAAACTGAACCAGACTCGGTTCTGAATCGGTCCAGGTCCAAACTCACGAGGCGGACCTAAGTTTATATAGTTTCTTCCTCATTTTCCACAGTTTCATAAAAAAAAAAAAGTCCGGATCGACTTCCTGACTGGTTCTAATCCGAGCCGCCGGGTTGCCAGATCCGACAGAACCGAGGTCCGCCTCCACGAAACGACCCGACCCAAAAAAACTGCTGGAAACTGTGTTGACAGAACCGAGACCACCGGACCACCAGGCTCAGCAGGGTAACCAGTACTCTTTAATGAAACAGTTGGACAGAAACTGACCAAAAACTGAGCTGTGAAAACTTCAAGTCAGGAACCAGTTTCTTCTTTTTCCTCTAGATAATTAAATCAAACTCGTTTTATTTTTCACTTTACAACAGTCAGACTTATCACCAGCTACAAAAAATAAATTATTAGTGAAAAATATATGTTTTGATCACAAAAACCGATCTGCTCTGTAAAGAACCAGGCGGCTTTTTGTTCCGACCTGGCAACCCAGAATTTAAACACCAGCACTTCCGGTCAGGTAATCACGTGTTTACGTCAAATCAGCTAAAATTTAAATCATTTATTAAAAATAAATAATAGCTTTAAAATAAGCTAAACAACTTTATTTACTTTAAAGATATGAATTAAAAGTTAATCTCCAGATTTGACTGAAAATAGTTTTTAATTTGAAACAAAAATAACATTTCCATTGGGGTAAATAGTATAAAATAAGAAGCAGTTTATGTTTTAAGTCATTAACTTTATTAGAAAAATAAGTTAAATTCATGTTGCTGTACAGTATAAAACATTTGTTTTACAAAAACATTTGAACTCAACAACAAAATAAAAGCTGTTTAAAAAAAGAAAAACTGCTCTTTATTTCAGAAATACAACAAAATTTTAGTAAAACTTCAGACAACAGGCACAAAAAGACAGAAAATCAGATTAATGACATTTAAAAACAGAATAAATCTTTAAGAAATAACCTTTTCTTACAACTCCCACAAAGCCTTTCACCTCTCTGAACCAACAGGTTAAACTCTAAATTTTAAATTAAATAATTTTAGTTCCTAAAATCTAGGTTTAATTTCTGATAGTTTGAATCTGTGACGAGACGTTTAAAGAGACAAACAGGTTTAATTTTTACTTTTAATTAAAGATGGATCTAATTTTCTGAGAGGGTTGAGTTCAGCGATGCATTGTGGGAAATGTAGGAGAAAACTTAATTTGAAAAATGAACTAAAAACATTCTTCAGAATCTGATCATGAACCAATCAAACAAGACTTTAAAGACTTCCTCTTTTAATTTAGGGTTTTCACTTTAGTTTATTTACTGAAAAACGCATCATAAATTAATCCCAGTTTAATGGAAATAATGTGTTGAAGGATCTTCAGTCTGTGTATGTAAAATAAATACTTCAAAGATAAAATAATCCTTTATTAGGTACACAAGTGGCAAATGTAGGTTGTCATGGCAGGAAGTGGACAGTACAAAAAGAAAAAAAAGAATATTTTTGCAGAATTTGTTTTGTTTCTTTAAAAAAATGGTATTTAAATTCTATACCATAATAAAGTAACCATGTCACCTTTAGTTGTTATTAAAGTGTTGTTTGTATGTTTAAATAGAAAATAAACTTGACTTCTCATCATATCTGTTTCTAAACTCCTTGAAATTGGCCTCTGTCTCTTTAAGTGTGTGTGTGTGTGTGTGTGTGTGTGTGNTGTGTGTGTGTGTGTGTGTGTGTGTGTGTGTGATGAGGAAGCTCAGCTTGGAGACACAGCCCACAGGAGGAGCTTTGAAGTGAGGTTCTGAGAAAAAGTTGTAATAAATATGTTATCTGTTGTAGACGGCTCTGTGAACAAACTCAATGTGGATGAGCTAATGGCTGGTCGTGTCAAAACAAGACTAAAGTGGACCTTTTTGTCTTAAAAATGATCAAATTGTTCACGGTAACCAGTTTCATAAACATTTACGTCTTCATCAGCTTGGCGTTGTAGGAAGGGCTACAGCTCTCAGAAAGAAAAACAAAAATCTAAAGTACCAAGGAATAAAACGACGGTGATGTAAAGATTTGTCTGAACAGATCTGATAGTTTAACATTTTTAAAAACCTTCTCAATCAGATTTAAACTCTGAGCTTGTTCAAAACGTTATCTACAACAGGTGAGATATTTACTGTTTACAATGTCTCCACAGAATGTCACTTTAAACTGCCTGAAGTGACTCTTTTAGCAGAGTTTCCGTTTGTATCTGAGCATTTGTAGGTTAAACAGTTAATCTGGACGTTCCTCTGAAGAGCGTCTCAGATCGTCTTCAACCGTCTGAAAAAATCTGTCCGCTCAGATTTAGGAGCAGCAGCGGCCCACGTGGTCAGCGGTCCTATTCAAACCCGCCCCGGTTTCAGGACCAAACTGCTGGAAGGGCGAAACATCAAGTCCAGATCATCAAAGTCCTACAGAACCCCTTCATCCAGGATGTCCGTCTTAAGCTCCTCCCATCATCTGAGTGAAGGGGCGGGGCTTGAAGCTCTGATTCTCCTCAACTGTAGCAGCGTGGAGTCAGCTGACCTTACCCTTCCCTCCACGGGGCGGCCATCAGCGCTGGGGTCGGCTCGGGGTCTGGGTCCGTCTTCAGAAGCGCTCATCAAGATCAGGACCGGCCTCGTCGCCTGTCTCCTGCTAGTCGGTAACAAAAGGAGTCTGTTAGAGAGCAGGAAACAGAAACGGGTCACAGATACACACTGCAGAGGAGCACAGGGACAACAAGCACGTACGTGCATGCCCATGAACGGCCTCATGCTTTTAAACAGCAGGCAGCTGGTTCTGAACAGAACTCTGGGTTCCTACACCGTCAGGTTTTACAGTCCTCATCTGCTGCCTTTAGTGGCCTGAATCAGAACCGTTTCACTTTGTTTTTCTACACCAGGGTCATCCTGTGAAACTTACGGAGCCCACGAGGGGACATGGGAGATTTTTTTTCTTTTGTGTTCCCACGGAACAATATTGCGTTCCCTTGCAAAAGTAGTTTCACGGTTATGCCTGCGGGTTTATTAAGAAACTCACATGTTCACCATTAGCGAGTTAGCCTACTGCTTTAATTCAGCTTCAGAATGAAAATATCACACAGCCACGCATGGAAGTATGTCATATGCCGATATTTTTAACACAGTGCAGCCACACAACATCAATGTCAATATCACAAACTTGTGGCGACACATCCTGTTTTGGTAACCGGATATTTCAAAATAAGTCTAATTTAATTCAGCTCATATACAAAATCTTTTGCATGGGAACGCAAAACAATATTGCAAGGTAACGCAAAAGTATTGCGAGGGAACGCAAAAGTATTGCGAGGTAACGCAAAAGTATTGCGAGGTAACGCAAAAGTATTGCGAGGGAACGCAAAAGGATTGCGAGGGAACGCTAAAGAATTGCGAGGGAACGCTAAAGAATTGCGAGGGAACGCTAAAGAATTGCGTGGGAACGCTAAAGTATTGCGTGG